ATTTTTAAAATAAATGCAAATCAATCGAAAGTGAACTGTCTTGAGCAGCTTAGTGCCATCATCCCTTCCAAACAGGCTCTTTGTCAAAAATCACTTTGAAAAACAAAAACAAGGTTTGCAGCACGACCTACTTATTTCTACTTATTTCTACTTATTTATACTTATAAGTTACTTATATCTACTTATGTTATGATTGCATTTTTAATTTACGAACAAGTTAACATAAGTAGACCGTAACTAGGTTAAGTTACTTTAAGTAAATTTAAGTAGTACAACTAGGTTTGGTCCTCAAGGTAGGTCCCAATTCACTGTACATAGTCTTCACTCCTCCCCATTTTCGTTCAGCGGGGGGTGTAGTTTCACGCTAGCATATTGACATTTACGTCTCACTCGTACGTCTTTGGCTCAAGGAAAACAAGGTGCGACTAGGTGGCGCTTCTAGGTCGTTTTCCTGTAACTACAGCTTGAGATCATTTTTTGTCACAGCGAACAGCTTTTTAGAGAACGAGTTCGGCAAGTTTGGGGTCGGCCAACTGCTGCAGCAATCGTTATATATAATTTGGTCTTGAACGCATCGTTTCAGCACGTCACAGTACAAACAAATTCACGTGCCTAGAATTTGAAGCAACCTATATAAGTAGGCAAGTGGAATGTCTTGAGCACGCCCAGCCAACTGTGCATGCACAAGTGCAGGTACATTGCTTGAAGCGCACTAATTTAGAGGCATGTCCATTCTAGGACATTCTCCTCTAAAAGTCGTGAGGTGCATTCAATAGGTGTGCCCCCAACTGCGACCTAACTGCGCGGATCAATGCATTCAGGTATGTTTCACACCTAAAGCTGGATGTCTTCGCGGACAGCTGTGATGGTAGATCTGCAGTCCGTGAAGTTTGAAGAACAATTTCTGACTCCAAGGTGTAGACTGGCACACACACACACGAGGCACTTTTGTGGCGGTGTCCGATAGTCATGTCAAGAGAATCGGATTTAGAAGTTCCGTGCGTGTTGGAGATGCCATGCGCAACTGCCGTACATGTATCTATGGCGAGCTTGCATGGCACGATTCAGTAGGGATGGATGGACACAGATGCAGACACAGGCCGAGGCTGCCCAATTGCCCGAATCACTTCAGAGAACACCGCAAACCAAGCATGGGGGAAAATTCCAAGAACAAAGCACTACTTACTTCACATACACGGGGTCCCATTCATTCCACCTTGCTCCGACTCCACCAGGAGATTGTACAATGGCTTACCGGTGTAGATCCCCAAAACCACATCAGTCTTCTGAGGGGATTCACATATATTCGGATTCACTACACGCAGGATGCAGAATGTGTCCAACCACAATGTAGGCCTCAACCCCAAGAGGAGTCATTCCATAGGTTTGTGACAACTGATAAATTGTCGTTCACACTGGAGGCCTGATTTGAGCCTACTGTGAGATTACTTGTTTTTTTTCATTGTCCGTTGCATGTAGACATGTAGTTTTGCGTTTCGCGCTTGGTTGGCTACCTGGAAGGCATAAACGGAATGGAAAAGCAGTCAGCTGATTTCATTGCTAATAGAAAAGTCATACATGGATTATAAACGCAGATGAGGCATGCTAGTGCATGTGTACAAGAACATGTATCGATGTGCGGGAATTTTTAGCACAGTATATACAGAGGTGTGGAAGCCGTTGCATTATGTGCAATATACTGTATGTATTGTAACTTTGTGGGGATTTATTTGTTTGTTTTGCTGGTGCCGAGGTGCGGCTACTCCGTTTTTTACGCATGGTGCGTATTTTGCGACTGGCCAAAATCAGCCGCATGTCGGAGGCGGTGCAGGTGAGCCGTCAGATTTTAGCCTGCCATATGTGTGTCAGACTCTATGATCAGATCAATTCTGCAGAATCTGAAGCAGACTCAAATTTGCAGGAACAGATCCAATCACAGACGGCCAATATTCATTATAGCCTTTTCAAGAGCGGCTCGATTGCAATTAACAGCTGTCTTTCGGGTGAACGAGACAACAACACATTTCAAGTTAGGTTAAGTATCCCTAGAAATCTAGGAACCAAATCATTAGCGCTAGTAGCTACTTCTACTGGCTACCTAGCTACTATCTACCTACCTACTGTACCTCTACCTCCTAGCGGCCTACCCCAACCCCACCAAAAAAAGAAACGTTGTGGCTCAGGCATATTCCGTCTACTTCTTTTGACTCACCTCCTTGCTTGCTCTTGGTATGGCATCGGCCGGCTGAGTGGTGAAGAGTGGGGTACCTTTGCTGAAATTCAACACACATGTCATATTTGATGCTTTGGTTTCAGGTGTTTTCATTCGCTTTGATCAATGAATATTACTTAAACAACACGCTTAGTGCTTTGATCCAACTCGTTCTGGGAATGGTAAAAAAGGATGGCAAGTTCCATAGCCATGCTTGGTCGAAGCGCACCTTGTGACCTCGTGTGGATAGTTTCCTAAGTTTTGCCCCTTTGCGCCAGTGCTTCAGATTAGGTGACATCAGCTGGGTTCAAGCAGACTCATTTACTGAGCGAACCCTGGGCTACCAGTGACCTGGCAATTAGTTGTCGCCCAAACTGTATTGGAGTCCTCAGAACGTGAGAAAACATCAGGCTGCTGGAAGGTTTTGGACTTAGCATTTTCCTTGGGGTCTATGTTGGAGGCCATCGCCAGTAGGTTGGAGGCCATCGCTTTTGGGTTGCAGGCCATCGCTTTTAGATCGGAGGCCATCGCCTTTGGTAAGGATTTCTTGAAGAGTGGGAATGGCAAACATGCGCATTACTTTGTGAAGATTTCTTTCTTCAGACAAAAGTGGTCTACTTTGTTTGGGAGCAAACAAAAGAATGGTATGAGAGCCTGATGCTGATGACATCTCGGCAGAAGTATTGCTTTCCTTCAACTGATCTAGGAATTCACAAAATAAGCAGCCTGGATTTGCTGATACACTTTTGGTTGGATTTTGTTGGTGACAGCTGGGGATGTTACTCCATTTAATTTGGAGACCAAATGCTCTCCAGGAGGAGAGAGGGCAGGGGCTCTGTCTCTGTTTGTCTCTCTCTGTGTCCCTCTCTCTCTCTCTCTGTGTCTCTCTCTCTCTCTCTCTGTGTGTCTCTCACAACTTTAGAACAGGTCGCTCAAGCCCAACGCAGCTTTTCTACGACTGCAGCAAGGTATTAAATGCCTAGCTTTCGTCCCCCTTGGGACTCTTCAGGGCTTTGCAGCCGCAAATGCTGCGGTGTTCAATCACAAGCCTATGGCATCGTGTGTTCAATAACCTAGGCAAGTGCAAACTGGACACAATTTTTTTTTTGGTCCCTCCCACAGCCAAACCCTTAGACCAAAAGTTTCCAAACTTGCTTGTACCGACTTTGGAACAAACTGCGCCCAACACTCCAACTTGTGATGAGTTTCAAAGCTGGAACACTCTGGCACAGCAATGGCTCAAATTGTCGGAGCTTTTGGGAAACCCAACCGGCAGAAATGTCTTTGTTGTATGGCCGCTTCAAAAAGGCTTTCCGTACCAAACCAGGTGCAGCATGCCTTCTCACACAATAGACTTTTTTCGTTTCCGGCCACCCGGCCACGCGGCCACCGGGCCAGCCGGCCAGCCCGGCCACCGCCGGCCACGCGACCCCCGGCAAGCCACCGCCAGCCACCGCCAGCCCCGGCCAGCCCCGGCCAGCCCGGCCACGCGGCCAGCGGCCACGCGGCCAGCCGACAATCCCACGACCAGTCGCCCGTATGTTTGGGGTCGCGCCCCGTCACCTCCGTAAGCCCTTGTTTTTTTGTTGTTGTTGTGCCAAGCTTCGCTGAAAAGCTGAAAAGCTTCGCTGGATTCCTAGCTGACTACACTCAAGCAACCTACACTCAAGCGTGCATGCAACCTACACTCAAGCGGCAAACGGCTCGCCGGAATCAGTCGGCACATATCTATAGCTGGCGTAAGTCAAGTGACCTGCGCCAAGCTTTATAACAAATGAGCCTTAACCACGCAGGATTGATCATTGACATCAACGAGCTGACTTGTGCTGAGTCTTTGTCGCAGAGGTACCACTTCTAAGCCAAATTGGCGGCGCGCCTCCCCAATCTCCATGTTGTTGTACATGAGGACAGCCATTTGAAGTTGTTCTGCTTGCAGCATCAACATGCATCCGACATCGCTCATCGCTTATCAAAGATGAGCTTCATCATCGATGACTTCCACTCAAGCGGAGCGTATTGCAAGGAGCACTGCCTGCCATCCTTGGAAGAGAATAGTGCTTTGTTGTGGGAAGGAACAACAGGTTGTGGATGGAACATGCAGTCGAGTTGGGTGGTTGGGTGGGTGAGGTTTATGGTCCTTGACATTTTGGCTCAAGGACCGCGCCCTTCCACAATTTCGCACCGACGCGTCATTGGTGGTGGAAGGGGTGCAGGATTTTGACACCCACTGGCCTACAGACACAGCAGCCAGTGGGTGGGTAGATCACGGTCGCGATAGGCTCCTGAGCTGATCGTGACCATCGTCGTGGTGTTGGTCACCGCTTGTAGCTGCTGCGTTCGACATACGTGCAGCTGGGTGGGATCCAGGAAACCAAGCATCAATTCGCCCTCAGAGTTCGAAGTCAGCATACATGGAGCCGACTGAAGAGGAGCGTAAGAGGTCTTTTCTTTTGCTGGCATGGATGAGACGCATCTGGCAGACGATAAGACGGTAGCTGGATCCCTGGCCTTCCTCTTAGGAGCCAAAGCGGACACGAAGCCGGCTGCCCTAGGCATTTTGTCGGAGGCAGACTGCGGTCAAAGGCTGGAAGGTCCCGGCAGCAGGAGGCGCTGCAAGACTGCCGACATTGACGGAGCTGGGGCAAGCAAAGTTGATAGGTCATGTTTGCAGAATCATTGCAGGCAACGGTGAGACCATAGAAGATCTCAAGAGGAAGGCATCAGCCATGACTACAACACCGGCCCCACCATCGAGCCCGAGCACATCAGCTGCTACGAGGAAGATAAAACTCAGCAGTATTGTCTCACAGGTCGATGACACCGAGATTTTGTTGGACGACGAAAAGGAGATCTTGAAGGCCTTTGCAAGATACGAAGTCGTCTATGGAAAGGGTGAACGTCCCCCGAAGGAGAGTGAGCCGACCACAGAACAGATAACTGCAATCCGGCATTTGTTAGACCAAGGCAGTGTGCCGTACGTTGACTTTGCAATCTTCGGCCCCTACGGCGTATGCGCATCATGAAGAAGGTCAAACTCTCTGGTGTGACTCTGGGACGTGATGGATCTGTGAAGAGCCAAGAGTTTCATGGCCCTGCGAATATATCTCACTGGATTGCATCCTACACAGTTTTGCAAAACGTTTTAGTGATGTTGGACGCTGTGGATCTTGGTAACCTCCTACGATACAAGTCATTCATCGAGCGCTTGCGCGACAAGTACGGTGAGAAGGTCTGGAGTGTCATATACCAAGGCGAAGTGAGATGCAGGTTGGAACATATGCCCAGGCTCAAGAGTATCGCCCAAGCAGAATACGATCAGACCAAGGCATCTGGCAGCCCCACCCCAGTGGGCTATGAACCGTCGAGACCATGGAGTTATGTTTGGGCAAAGGCAGTTCGAAGACCTGGAATTCTGGCGGGAAGAAGTGGTGGAGGAGGATCACCAGTACAGCCGAAGCAGTTGAAGGCGATGCAAGTACTTCTCCGCCGGGATTGCGCCCACGGGAGACGACCCCGGCCCCGTGGAGAATGGCTGCGGCTGCAAATTCATCCCCGGCAGCTTCGGCAGAGCCACCCTCGGCGGCGCAGGAACCGAGGGTCCGCAAAGCCAGCAGGACGGGCCGCTTCACAAACAGCACAGGCCACAAGCTTTGCGCAGACTTCAACAAGGGCACGTGCGCGGTGGGCACCAGTGTGAACGTTGTTTGGGATCCCATGCAGCTACGAAGTGCCCACACGAGGAGATGCCTGAGCCTGGATTCATTGAAGGGGCAGCAAAAGGAGGGGCAAGAAAGGCGAAGGCAAGAAGGGGGGAGGTGGCAAGAGGCCACCCTACTGACTCAATGCCTCCGAGGTGCATGAGGGTCAGAAGTTAGAGGACTCCTACAAACCTGGCCCGGTTCAGAATTCAGTCGTCAGCGTCTCAGACAGAACACGACAGGTTGATGGCAAAGTGCTATACCTTTACAGTGGACCACACAGGCCTTCTGACGGTCTAGGCAAATACATCAAAGACCGTGGAATTGAAGTAACCTATGTGGATAGAGAGATCAATGAGCTGCATGATCTTCTGGACCAAGACGTCTGGGAGAGGATCGAATCGAATTTGCATATGTACGATGGCTACATGATTTCACCACCTTGCAGCACCTTCTCACCCGCAAGGCAAGGCATGGGAGGACCACAGCCACTTAGGTCGACAGAGGGTCCGGAGGTCTACGGACTCAGAGACCTGACGGCTGAAGATAGGCAGAAGGCGAGAGAAGGTAACATCCTTGCACTCCGAGCTCACCAGACTGCCTCGCATGCGCACAGGAGCAACAAGCCTTGGTTGCTCGAGCAGCCGCATGAGAGGGAAGAGAAAACTTCAATGTTCAAGCTGGACGAATACAGAGATTTGATTGCAACAGACGGAGTGCTCACATACACGTTTGCGCAATGCAGATTCGGAGCACCCTCAGAGAAGTTGACGGATTTGTTGAGCAACATTGAGGGCTTGACGGAGTTTACAACATTGTGCAATCATCCAAAACAATGGTGGAGGACTCCGTGGAATGGCAAGTGGATCTTTGCAGCACACCCTCCGCTGAAAGGCAAGCAGAGGGCAGTCCTAGCAGAACAGTGGCGGCCTTCGATGCTGCGATCCAGAGAACCAAAGGGTGAGTACCTGACGAGGCAAGCAGCTGCATGTCCAAATAGACTCAATGAAGCTTTGGCTGCGGCACTAGCCATGGCGATCACCAAGATGAAGGACAAGGCGAAAGGCGCTGCGGGTCGCGTGGGCGATAAGCGACTGGCGCAAGCGGCAGACTGGGACCCGAAACCACAGAAGGCGATGAAGTTGTCGGGACAGGCTGAACAAGTCAAGAAACCGGATGATGATCGAAACAGCTTGAGGAACGTTCACCAGTGGATCACTGACAAGATGAGATACATTGGCGCGCAGGTGCGCAACATCATCGGGATGCACCCTTGACAGAGATAAAGAGGCTGAGGACCAGATGTGGCGGAGCATTGCAAGCCATCAGAGTCAGGATGAGGTGATCATTCCGGAACAGGCAATATCGCTGATGAGGCTGGACATCAGAGATATGTTGATAAGAAATGCGTCTGGTGGACTGTCAGCTGACCTGTCGATAGATCCCATTGACGACAACAATTGCACGACAGTCATCCGTGCGTACCTGTTGGAGGCATGGGCACAAGTAGTGGAGGACCCGGCAACAGCAGCAGTCGCCTGGCTATATAGCGGGGCGCCAGCGGGACTCCAACTGCAGTCGGAGAGTCTGGACGGAGTCTTCCCGAAGGTGGACGACGCGGAGCACCTTGATGTCCACGACCTGGCTA